GCATGTAATTTATGGATACCTACTTGGCCGTCCCACTTCTTTTGCATCAGATCACGGATATAAGATCTTATAGCAGCTTTGTAATCAGAGTATGGGATCAGAAGTGGTGTCACAGATTTGTTGAGTGCTGCCTTAGTAGCAAGATCAGCCATTGTGTTCCCAGAAATGCCAACGTGGCTGGGTAACCAACAAAAGACGATGTCGCATTTCTCCACTTATTAACTGACAAAATGAATGGATGTATATGCGAGTAGTTATGAATCGCTGTGTAAGGTTGTTGTCTTGCAGCCAGGTTTCAGGTACGGTTGAAAACATACAGTCTGTTGGTTAAAAATCAGCTCAGTCAAAACTCACTCACACTATCCCTCTTGACTGAAAATACATGAGAGAACTTGGGCAGTTAGGCACAGCCATGTTACAAATATACACATTTGTAATTGTGACTGAGTTGAAAATCTAACCATTGCTATATTTGGGATTACAATTTATAAGTAAAGTACAGTGATGGTCGTTGAATGGGAAATCAGCACTCAAACAAGAAGAGTGATAAATCACTACCTAGGTATTATAGAAAGGCAGTACCAGTATCCTGGGTAAGAGGAATCTCCATACACTTGCTGGTCTTCATGTAACCTTGTCTACGATGTCAGATGGGAGGCAAGTGCTCACCCTTTGCCAACTCGTTACAATGCATCAGCGATAATGTTTCATTTACTTTTCATCCATGCATCTCCATCAAATTCCTACAGCAACAAGCTACAGCACATTACGCATTGGTTTTTGTTCTTCATTACATGAAGAAAAGGCAGTGGATTGTGTTCAGCGTTCACTTGGATGGGACCCAACGTAGTACTACTACGTTTTCAATGGTGAAATACTTTCTCTGACTTTTCTGGCACCATACATTTGCAAAATAACAAGCAGGGTGGCCAAAGCCAGAACCAGAATAGGTCCAGTACCAATATCAATATCAATATCAATTTACGGCAAATTTCAAATTTTGAACAAAAGCTTCCATCTCCCGAGCAAACGTAACAGTACTATCTGTCCAAGAGCGTTCGTTGTGGTACTCTCGGATGGTAGTTCAAGAGGCGGAAGACAAAAGTCAGCAGTATAGTTGAAGACAGCAGCAGCCATGTTTATTATGGTTGGATAATAATGGTCGAAATGGTACATAAGATGGAAATCACGTGACAGAACGCACATCGGGACCGAAAGTTAATGAAAAATTAATTCAAGTGAAATTGGCTTGAAGATATTTTAGCGAATTCTATATTGTGTGCCAGAGACCATAAAAGTATTATGCACAAGGATACTAAACTTTCGCCGGTATCATAAATAAGCACAAAAACACGTTGGCAAATCGAAGATGTAGGATATAGACTGGATAATCAGTCTCCACTAAATAAGCTTGGTAAGCCATAACTTATTATATTCTACGACTACTATTACCACATGAAAAGATGTAGCCGTTTTTCACAAAGAGTAAATATGGTATTGCATAACTCGTTATAAGCTATTGTCTATAGCAATAGTTATAGAGGAACAAATTATTAGAAAAATCCTTGAAACCGGGAGTCTGATTTGAATGGGACGACTCGGAACCCGCAGATAGCGTTGATCTGCATTAAATGCGTATATGCGTAGGGCGTAGTATATGTAGTAGAGTAAGAGCCTAACGGATTTCAAAAACTTAATCTAATAAAGGATGTACGTCTACTAACATCACATACAGATTGCAATATATACTCAATAGATGAAAAATACGACAAATATAGACGCACGTGAAACAATGACTGGAAAGGATTCCACATACCTGGCATGAACAAGAATGCCCGAGATAAAACGTCTAAACACAAAAACGTTGAGAGAGTTCAAAAACGTTCACATACATTGTCACACACACATAATGTGAAGCACTTGCAGAAGAATCTTGAGGCTTGTTGACATGATCTTGAAGGGTGGCGTTGATGGTTTTACTCACAATTATATGGACTTTGCTGGGTTTGGTTGTTGTCGATGATTTTGTGAAGTTTGCTGGCTATGGGCTGCTGTCTCGTTGATCGTCGGGTCGGATGAGCTGTCAGTTGTCTTCTCCGTTCTTCCGCCAAGATGACGGCCGGCGTTGACGCTGCTCTTGTCTATCACCATCTCTGAACTACCGGCTGCTTTGCTGCGAGTTTGGGTAGGGGAATCGTGCGTGAGTCACAGCAAACTCACGCTACCCGGATATTTCTCCACCATCTGTCCAAGAACGTTCGTTGTGGTACTCTCGGATGGTAGTTCAAGAGGCGGAAGACAAAAGTCAGCAGTATAGTTGAAGACAGCAGCAGCCATGTTTATTATGGTTGGATAATAATGGTCGAAATGGTACATAAGATGGAAATCACGTGACAGAACGCACATCGGGACCGAGTGGCCAATGTTCCCGATGTGGAGACCCGCTCTGTCACTTACACGCATTCAGAAGTCGGACGGCGATTCTTCATCGTCGACGTAGTCGTTGGTGAGGCGACGGCCTTGGCCGACGCCCCGACTAGCCGCACAGTCCGTCCGCTTCGGTGGATGATCTCGGCCCGTTTCCTCGCCTCGTCTCTGACTGGTCTCCCTGCTTGGTCTCTCTGCTTGGTCTCGTGAGTCCGGTTTTATGCATAAGGACATTACGCCACGTTGTGCAAGGTCACTGACCTGTGCACATGTAGATACATAAGATCTGCCGACGTGGGCAGATGTTAATTGACATTTACTGATGGCATTGAGGATTAAGGGTCCTGCCCTGAGGGGGGGTTTATGATAAAAGGGCTACACCGAATGATTGCTGAATACATTAAACAGACAAAGATGCACTTTGGATATATATGGAAACAATTATGTTCTTTGAATATATGAAGTTTTACAGAAACCTATTTAAATGGTTTACTCTATGACAGCACTACCATCTTAGCAAGCATATACTCTGGCCTGTTAGCATAAGGAACCAGTTAATACCACTTCAAATTGTTAGCCACAAATGCAAGAAACATTTCAGTGTGACATTGACAGAAAGCCGGAACAAGTCTATCAAACGATCAAACGCTCTTTTGTCTTAGATATTGGACAAGATTGGAAAAAATACCAGCGCCTTGAGCATGCACTAGTGCGTGGATATGTGCGCTATATAAATATCCTATAATAATAATACTATTTCTTTGTCATCTTGAAATCCTTTACCTGAAACTATCATTGTTCTTTTTAATTTTCTTTCTCAGCTCCAGTATTCCGGGATCCTGAATTTGTCTTCTCAATTCCTGATCTCCTTAAAGCCTAACATCAATATTCTGTTCCATCAAGGCCAGCCAAAGCATCATCATCAAACATTTCTTTCTCAAAACGAATGAGATAAAATGTTTATTGGCCCAAAGCATACAAAATTTGATATCTCAACAATTCGACCTGATAAGACCTTTTTGAGCATAGAGACCAGTTCCAACATTAATAACACCACGGTTATGGTTATTTTCACACAGTGTAAGACAAACACAAAGTTAACCAATAATTTTAACCAATAAATGCGTGAGATATAAAATTTCTAGCCCGAACAAACACACAGTTGCTGTTAAAGTTGAAAGAAAAATGTTTTGAAATCAGTTTAAAAGAAATGGGTGTGGAATCAACAGTGTAGTAATGTAAAGTATGTAATACAAAGGAAGTGATTTTGACAAGAAAGTCGGGAATACTCAACCTCAGCAACAGTAATCCAACTTACAACTGGGCCTGGCAGAGTACACTGACCATCACTTAGAATGCTGGTCTTCAATGAGGGACAAGAGTTAGCTCCCCTTATACACCAAAACATTTCTGTTCCTCTCGGACTATGCACGTTCACAGAGAGTGAGTGAGTGAGTTAATATTTAGCGTTACACGTACAAAATGTATTATATTTTGAGCACTGTTACACAATAAATAACAGTGTCCCATAGCGTAGGAATGTAGCGTAGGATGTTTGATTTCGCAATCAGATTGCAGTAAACAATCTCCACATGTTGCCATAGGTTGAAGTCACACCACATTCCATTACACTGGTCCTTGTCTTAGCTTGAAGTGGGAAAGAGATAACGTGTCTTTGTGGATGGCTTAACTGTGACTAAGGACAATTCTAAATGAAGAAACGACACAGAGAAGAATCTGAAGCTGGATTTTATTAAGCCTTCAAGCAAGCAAATTAGGACAATTTTGTGGACAAATTCGATTTCCATCCCAGTATCAATATTTACCCACTACTGGTGACATGGAGACAGTGTACGTAATATAGTAACAGTAACAGTATTGATGTGATACCAATTCATAAATGCGTTTAATAATTCTAAGTGCGTTTTTACGTCTAACCGAGTATATTTAATAATAGATATGTTGTCTTGTTCTGTTCAGTAAAACTGTCATTTTGATAAGATGTACAACTAGTCTCGTCACTGTTTTAACCAGCAGTTGCTGAAACATGTCAAATCCAATTCTAACCACGCGCTTATTTCGTTCAGTACTTGTTACATGCATAGTAAAAGGTTATAACTATCTCTTCAGTTGAATACACGATCCAGACATATATATAAGCTGAGTATGAGGGAACTAATCTTTACTTTTACATGCACCTCCGTTCTTCACACTTGATCACCCTCAAGTGTCAGATTGGCTTGTGAGTGTCTCATTGTGAAATTAGAACTTTGGCAAGACATATGTGTATAAACTATATCAAGTTATATATTAATAATAATTATAGGGAGAGTATAAAAACCTGCCAACGAAGGACAGTAAAACAACTCGAATATCACTTATATAAATGCAAAACTAGTAATATTATCTAAAACAGTTTAACTATACATGACAATACAATATAAAAACAGGCTATAGGTTGCCAACAACCGAAGGTAGATCACCATACTAGGGACCATGGGGACTTGCATTACTTTTGCTACCTACATGGACCCCAGCTGGATTTACACCATCCCTTCAGCTGTCAGCAAATGTTTAACAATCAAGCCATAACATTAAAATAATATATACACTGCAGTTCAAAACCATAGTACGTTTAAATTTACTTGAATTGTTTTGGAACTTACGTATCCTCGCAGGAGGACAATGATTTTACAGTACTTTAACCCCCTTTGAGGATACAGCCACTAACAATATCAGTTGTTTATCTAAACTACCAAGCATAATATATTTATCTATCATATATAGAGATTCGGCACAAAACCTAGCCCATACAATACACATAACATTTCTCAGATTTGATTATTTTCATACACTTGGTTCTGAAAGACATCGTACTGTGACTTCTCCTCTCTCTCCCTGGTGACATCATTCAATTCAATATAGTCTGGATCCCCCACGCCAGGAGTTGGAATTTCCTCAGTGTAACCTGTCGTACTTCCTTCGTATGGATCTGCTCCGTTCGAGGGAATCCATTTCAGTCTGAAACAGAGAAGTATGGTAGAAATGTTACAGATGTTGGCCTCGTCAAGCAACAGTATCAATCTTTTAATCATACAAGACGTTATACAAGGTTACCTTCCATGTTTCAGCAGACACATGATCAGCCCAACAGCCAGCAGCAGCATGACCGACATTCCTATAGCCATTCCTATAGCTCCTTCAATGACGCCAATTTTAGCAACAGAGGCTGCAATAATAAGAAGTACATTCACTTACCTTTATACTTTGCATTTATTGTGAATGGATCTAGAGTCTGCATATGTCAATGCACTAGATATATAGCATAGCCAGTATTAACAAAGTTTGTTCATACATCTGTATAATTGTAACAACATTTTTCTCATTTAAACATATTATAGGGAATTCCAGGATATTAAACGAGTCTCAAACCTCTGACATCTACATCACATCGGTCACCAGTGAAGCCCTCCAGGCATTCTCCTGGACAACGTCCATCTCCAACATTACACGTGACGTCACAGTGTCCACAACGACTGCAGTCAGGCCCGTACGTTCCAGGCTTGCATCCTGGTAGTAAGCACTTAAGTTATCACGTCATTCGATGGTAGAAATGAAAAGTAGACTGGAACATATGTTTTAATTATGACACATCATATCAAGTCTTTTTGACTAGAACGCGTAGCATCTTCTTTATGCTTCATTACTAAAGGATGTGCTGCATCAAATTATAATTATAAATTCAATATTTCCTACTGAAAGTAATACGTATATCATTCTATGAGGAAAGATAGATGAAATTACTTATCGCCACTTGTATTAAAAGGATAGCTAAGGAGCTACTAAGAATTGTGTTATATTTTTCTCTTTTGACTTATGTCATGGATTCCGAGTTTGCAAAGCGACTGCCACATCCTGACCATACACAAACTGAACGTATGGTTCTCACTTTGTGGAATATGTACCCGTGTATGTCACTATTGTTCACGCTGGAAAAAAGCGTTTAGTTGGAGGATTTTAGCCAATAGCCATGTACTGGAATACTTCCGTTTGCATCAAACCTGTTATACATGTCTGTGAATTTTTCTGTATGCGAAAGTAGGCTTCCAAAACCGTCTGTCCACCTCCTATATGCAGTTTATGGAAAACGTTCACGGCAACGTGGAACACCCTGACTCGTCCATAAGTCTCATGAAGGTTACTTCCGGACTGGTCCCTAAACAAGGCAATTCCCGATTACTGTTTCGGATATTGGGCATGCTTATCACCACCGACGTCTGTTTTCTGAATATGGCTGCCTCCCATGGTGGGTACTCACAATGTGATCCTCGCATATATTCTCGTAAATCTGTCTGCCGTGTTATAGAGAATGTTGCTGCACACATTTGTCGCAAATCATACAATAATGTGGGGCAGTTCTTGCATCTGTTCTAATACAGAGCTGACATGAGTCGTTAATCTGTCGTGCCATGTTATTTGGTACCTGTCACAGTATAGAAATGATGTTCTGGAACACATTGTTTGCCTATACCGCTCCTCTCCAGCACAGCGTTGTATGACAGACATGTCATGTCCTGTTCCTTTTCTGTACCCAATGTATTCAGTACTTAATGGCACAAGTTTTAACAATACAAATAATTATCTTTAGTACTCGCTTTTAGCTAAGTATACTAATCAGCTGTGCACCTCGCTTGTAACAAGTGAGTTTAGGTTCGGGATACATTACTCTGAGTACAGTCTGCTCCGATCCATCCTTCCCGACATCCTGTGGTGCAGGCTCCTGACACTTGATCACAGATGGTCCGAGGAGTTTTACACTGACGGGAATCACAGGACTTGCTGCAGTTAGAACCGTACGTCCCGCTTGGAAAGTTCACGAGGTTTGAAAACGATGGCATGTGTATTTACACACAGAAGAGGTTTATGAAACTGATTTGTGAATGAGTTAAAATTTAAAGTCACATCGGCAGTATTTCAGTCATGGAAGTTGTAAAATTTTAAGTTTATAAATGAATAAAAACAAATAAAAATAAATGATGAATGTGAATAAAAGCAAATAAAAAGTTAATATACTCAGATCTACCTGTTTGCAAAGAACAGTAAAATAACTACAGTCGGATTGGGAGTGAGTGAGTTAAGATTTTACGTCACATAGGCAATATTGCAGCCTTATCGTGACTAAAACAGGTTTCAATTGATCATGAATACATGTAAATTATAAAAAGCTGTCAACGAAGGACAAAACAGCAAACTGGGATATCACAGTATCAAGAATTAAAATTAGCATCTCTCTCTAAAATTATATTTCAAGTATCAAAATGGGCTTTAGATCGCCAACAACTGAAGGTAGAACAGCATACCGGGGCCGGATACAGCTTTGAGAAAGGGGGTGCACACTATCAAGAATAGGAGGGTGCACACTTCATTTTCACCCGAGATTCAATGGTCATTTAATAAACTTTCAGGGCAAAAGTAGGGGTGCGCATCCCCTGCCGCCGCCGCCCCCACCCCATGCATAGGGACCATTGGGACATACAGTGACTTTACTACCAGCATGGACCCTAGCTGGACAGTCCAATTGGTTGTACCCAATAACCCCAACATGCCACTACCCCTACAATTAGTTAAAACAACACACGGCATTTACCTGGCTGGCAAAATGGACTGACCCAAAGAGATTAGCGCATCAAGGGAGGGATTAATTTGTTGTTCAGTGTTTTGTGTCAAGGAAACTTGGGATTAGCTGAATAATGTTTTAGTTTCATGATGAAATATAAACCTCTAGTGAGTAGAACAATTTTACCAATATAGGTGTGTAGGTTGTTAAATGTTGTTTTAAAGGTTGTAAAAGTTTTTTTAGTGCCATGATGAAAGATACACAGTAATATTGAGAAGTGGAGGGAAATGAGAACATGAGATGAGAAAGTAAATTGAGATAGTTCCGTACAGTATATAGCTGTTGACAACAAACTAACATGGCATCAACATGGCTGGTCTGCGTAATGTTGAGTTTGTTATGTCACGGAGATGTAGCCCCCGAGTCCTATTTGATGGTTATCTTCACACTAAGAATGCCGAGAGACAGTCTTGTGTACGCTGGAATTGTGTTCAGTCAACATGCAAAGGAAGAGTCACAACTGTTGGCAATGTTGTAAGGAATACGACAGAACATAATCACCCACCAGAGGATAGTCAGAAGGTCAGGTCTGTCAGCAACCTGATTAAAATCTTGATGATGACAAATGGTGATGTCAACCTTCAATAAAATCATTCACCCAATCTTTTAGTTGTGTGTTGTTATGTCTCTTACGTGGATTAGTCCATTGTATGGAATAGGTAACAGGCAGGGTCTTAACAGTGCAACAGGCCGTAAACTACGTTCTTATAAGCTGTAGGGGTAGTGACATGTAGGGGTAATGGGGGTTACCGTCCAATTGGGTTCAAATGGAGAACGATGAATGATTAAATAACTTAAAATAAGGATACACGCGAAGAACCTACCGGCGCTATTCCACCAGCCGTTTGTCACCCCTCGGTGTGAAGAGTGAACATATTACATGATAGTTTCTGAAACATCCTTTTCCCTGATCAATCATAAAACGTCAGATTTAAGATCGTGTTGGGTACAGATGTTTCACGACCATGTGTCTTTTCATGTTTCGTGCATTTATCCCTATTTCGAGTTATTTAATCATTCATTGTTCTCATTTGACACAGAATTAGACAAGAAATTAGCAAATAACCATAAAACACTATTTCTCTCTATGAAACTGATTAAACCTTCAGGCAAAAATAACTTAAATGGGAAACAATTACCTGATATATATGTATGCCATTATCAACTGTTCTATTCAGTATCTACTTCAATTAAATTCAACGACATTTAGAGGTTATTTTATGGAACAAACTGGTATTATTTGAACAGTTGAAACAGACAGATTTCTCAAAACACTTCTCACGTGTCCTGCAGTCGGCATTTTGCCAGCCTTCCCGGCATCCATCTGCGCATGATCCAGTGACGTCACACACGGGTGATAGTGTTTTACAGTTGCGAGAATTGCAGAACTCTGTACATCCTGGTCCATACCTTCCATCAGAGCAGTTTACCTCTGAACCAAAGAACCGAATGCTGTGAACTATCTCTCTTACTATTTTGATCGTTGTGACTAAGGAGATGTCATAGTGGACACAGTCACTGTACACAATCGGTTTTTTTAGACAGGAGAAGATTCACGTCAATGCAATTGTCCAACAAGTATTAACTGTACGTGAAGCTTTGCTCGTTTTCATGATGATGTTATGACCCTATCTAAACTTCTTAGAACAATTTCTAACCACCTGATTTTAGCATATTGAAAAGAAGTCAAACTATTTGACAAAATGCAGAAATTTATCTTAAGTAAGTTTTTTACCCTTTCATGTAATACTGGACTGAGATTTTAGTGATGTTCAACATCTCTTCTACTATAAAGGAATAGCTGCAAATTACTGGTTTGACGGCAAGCAATACTAACTTTCTTACTTGTTTAACTGAATACAAAGCTATAGAGTTAAAATAATCTGTCACAGTTAATCGTTAAATTCATGTGGATATGAATACGTGTCAGTATATTCATTATTTTCTTGGGGGTGGATAGGTAGCCCAGTGGTTGTGTAACAATGTATTCAACAATATACATAAAACATTAGTGGTGCTGTTTACAGTTCTGTTATGACTTGTTCTGTCAGGAATGGACGCCTTACGTATTTGAAAACAATATATTACGTCAGATGTTTCATTTTCTGTTACATATAATCTGTTGAATATCCTCGCAGTGTGCTCTTTGTTAATTATGTGATTTCTTTTATTGGAGCCCATATGGATTGGAAATATACTTTAAGTCTAACAGTTCAGGGTGATAATCTTATTTCTGTAATATTCGAAATATATTTCAGACTTTTGACAACATATCTGAATAGTTTCCAATTTGCGTTATTATTTACTGTACATAGTTTTTAAAATAAATTAATTGATGCTACTAAATTATTATACCTTTTTAACATCGCCTTTTATTGTTGATCTTCAAACCATGTTAGTGGTAAAGGTAAGCTGTCAAATTATGTCGTCCGACTGCAGGACATACACGCTTGCTGCAAAGATCACTTACACCTGATAAGCAAGCGAGAATAGCGGGAAGAATATTAAACTAAACCTGTACATACGTGCATCTAACTTACAGTTTAGTACAGATGACATCATTATGGCATACTACTTTTAGAGTCTACTACTTTTTTTACGTTTGCAACGTTATCATGCAGCAATCAACAATCAAATTGGAAAAATGAATGCTATATAATTTCCTTGAACAAGTTCAAATTTAGTTTAACCAATACGTCACATAATCAACAGGAAATACAAACCAATGGTGCTGTGTAACTTACTACTGGAGCAGTCTATTTCTGTCCACCCATCTTCGCAGCCACCAAGACACTCTCCTGACACCCCGTCACATGTAGATGAGTTTGTTTTACAATGTCGAGCACTGCAGTAACTGACACAGTTAGGACCGTACATCAGACTGGTACACGCTGTAATAATATAGGTGGAGCTGGTGTAAGTGATACTGATGAAAGTAATTTGTAATCTTGTGATGATCCAGACTATAATTTGTCTTGAGCAACCCATGTTTGTCGAGGCAACTAACAAGATCCCAAAAAGGTGGTCAGACTTGGTGTGTTGACACATGTCATCGTATCCCAACTGCGAGAGCTCATACTGTTGATCAACGTAACTGAATGTGGTCTGCACAGTCCAAACTCAATTATTTCCCGACGTCGGGACCGTGCTACGTCGTCACCATCGCGCTCAACGTCTCCGTTATCTAAAAGTACCCACTTGGTTGTATATACATTACCTTCTTCTAAACGGGTGTAAAAATTCATGCACTAAAGCATATTTGTGGACGAGTTATACATGTTTGAAAATACAACATTTTCGCAACAGATTTCTTGCCCATGCGTTTCTTTCCTCGGATAGTATATTTTGTGAACATTACATTTTATAATGATTTGCCAATCATTCTGGAAGAAATACATGAACTAAGTTCGGATTGTTTGATATCACAAACCGACAACCAACATGTTCTCGTTGACGTTAGCGGTGGAATTTGGACGTCATAATATCGTTCAACCAACGCAGCTAAGTAAACTTCATCACAAATTGATCTATTCTGGCAAGAGACAGGCTGCCATGGTGCTACCAACGTATATATCAAACATCGCTGCTTATGTGAAAAAATACCTTCAGTACAATCTGTTCCGTCATACCCAGCCGCACATCCACCTTCACACAGCCCTTGTCTCCTATCACAGCTGGAGTCCCCAATGCAGTGGCGAAGAGTGCAGTTTTTTCCACAGTTAGCTCCATAATGACCGGAGGCGCATTCTAGTATACAGAAGTGTCATATTTAAACGTATGTCAGGACAGGTTATAGGATTCACAATATGAGACGAGTTTGTACCGTTAGACGCCCCAACTGAACTCACATCAAGTTAGGTTTGGTTCATCAATACCCCTTTTCATACCTACAATCATTTTCATTGTTCTAGACCTGCTTTGTGTGGTAATCATGAGCCCAAACCCCGAAGAATAGATACACCGCATAAGTGGAATATTTCAATAAATGTTGTAACTAAATGTGGGATGACTGGATTGATTGATCAAACATATCCCGAAAATATCGATCTTAGGAAAATAGGTCAAGAAAATGAACTGCGGACATCCTGAAGATGTTGTGTCGAAGTTTTTATGTATGAATATGGCCTTGTCATGGCTGATATAATCTTCTGATCACTGTGAAGGCACACTGCATGTAGACACTGCAAGTCAGTAAACTGTAAATCATTTAATACTTACAGCATATATGTGAATATATAATTGTGGATGTCTATACTGGAAAGGTGTAACTGGTACGTGTCCTTCAATATCAATTTAAAAATTATCATTTTCCTCTATCAAAAATTATGATTTTACAATGCTGGCAAGGTCTGAATCCGATCGTATGCCGTTCAAATTAGAATTATTGACGTACATCGATTTTATTTTTTTCTAATCTGATCATGAGCAGACCGACAAGTAACCATGGTGTGATGAAAAATAACAATTGCTTAAAGAATAATGAATCTGCTTGGGATATTTTAATAGTCTGTGATTGTCAGGAGTACACCTCAAGTGACATAAGATCCATGTTGCTAGATTCCTCTGATTTTATGAGGCAGCTAGTGTACACATATAGACATGACCATCCAGAATATTTGATCAAGAATGTCCTCAGACCTAGAAGACACATATATACCCATTTACTCCAAGTTCACCACGACAATGTAGTTTATTAACATTTTTTTTTCAAAATTTGTTCCAATGTGCTATTTATTCCAGTCGCATTTGTCACAGTCTAACCATGGCTGAAATTGTTATTGGTGTTATCCACGGGCATAATTCCGTCGATGGTATAACGGTAGAATGACAAGGTAAGCAATAACTCCTTTTGGGAATCGAATCTGACTGTTCAGCGAAAAAAGCAACTATTTGAATGCTACTCACTGACCCGAGACTATAGCTGTTATAGTAGTCATGAAATGTCAACGTATTACCTGTAGTACAGTCTGTCCCCATCCATCCAGCATCACATCCACCAGTTGGACAGGCTCCACTGATCCGGTCACATGTCGGGGAAGACGTCTTACAATGTCGGGAGCTGCAGGTTTTGGCACAGTTAGCACCGTACTGTTCAGGGGCACACACTGAGTATGATATGGAGAACGAACAATTCTCTCTAAGAAAGTCAACACAGGGATAACGCATGGTCAAAGTCTATTATCATCCCTGTTTTCAAAATCAGTTTAGAGTGACTCAAGTAATTACAGGTATCTGTCTCAGGGAAATCTTGCACACTTGTGCCAGAAACAAATAATGTACAGAAAACATATTTCCATTTTCTGACGGCTTAACACACTATGTCACGTGTTTGTTGAGTAGAACCATGGAATTTCGCTGTAAATCAATGAGCTAGATAAAATTATGAAGTAAGATACACATGGTATCTTATCGATGCCGGATTTAGTCTGGTTATATTTAGTGCTGCTGTACACTAAAGATGTTGTGGAATTTTCTGACTATCTGTTTGGTCTGTAGAACCAGGTGAACATGTCATGGGTGAATGTGTTAGATTACCGCTGCATGTAAGCACATCAAACCGGGCCATAAAGTTTTGGCTTAGGTTTCCAGGCTCCACAAAGGTAAAGAAAAGCTAAACAGGTTGCACTGTTATGGTAGGTGTGGAAAGGTTTCACATGTTAAATAACTTCCTCGTACATATGACTTTATGAAATGTGACTGAACAGGGTGTGAAAATATCAGTTTACGTATATCTTTAGAAAAAGATTATTTTATGTCCGAAACGAATGGTGTATACTATGTAAGTCTAACCTGTCGGAGAATGGCCACCGAGTATTGCATGAGCATGTGTTATCATTGGAACAAAACAAAACCTATGTATGCTATGTAAGTCAAACCAGTCGGAGAATGGCCATCGAGTATTGAATGAGCATGTGTTATCATTGGAACAAAACAAAACCTTTGTATACTATGTAAGTCAAACCAGTCGGAGAATGGCCATGGAGTATTGAATGAGAATGTGTTATCATTGGAACAAAACAAAACCTATGTATACTCTGTAAGTCAAACCAGTCGGAGAATGGCCATCGAGTATTGAATGAGAATGTGTTATCATTGGAACAAAACAAAACCTATGTATACTATGTAAGTCTAACCAGTCGGAGAATGGCCACCGAGTATTGCATGAGCATGTGTTATCATTGGAACAAAACAAAACCTATGTATGCTATGTAAGTCAAACCAGTCGGAGAATGGCCACCGAGTATTGCATGAGCATGTGTTATCATTGGAACAAAACAAAACCTATGTATGCTATGTAAGTCAAACCAGTCGGAGAATGGCCATCGAGTATTGAATGAGCATGTGTTATCATTGGAACAAAACAAAACCTTTGTATACTATGTAAGTCAAACCAGTCGGAGAATGGCCATGGAGTATTGAATGAGCATGTGTTATCATTGGAACAAAACAAAACCTATGTATACTATGTAAGTCAAACCAGTCGGAGAATGGCCATCGAGTATTGAATGAGAATGTGTTATCATTGGAACAAAACAAAACCTATGTATACTATGTAAGTCTAACCAGTCGGAGAATGGCCACCGAGTATTGCATGAGCATGTGTTATCATTGGAACAAAACAAAACCTATGTATGCTATGTAAGTCAAACCAGTCGGAGAATGGCCATCGAGTATTGAATGAGCATGTGTTATCATTGGAACAAAACAAAACCTTTGTATACTATGTAAGTCAAACCAGTCGGAGAATGGCCATGGAGTATTGAATGAGCATGTGTTATCATTGGAACAAAACAAAACCTATGTATACTATGTAAGTCAAACCAGTCGGAGAATGGCCATCGAGTATTGAATGAGAATGTGTTATCATTGGAACAAAACAAAACCTATGTATACTATGTAAGTCTAACCAGTCGGAGAATGGCCACCGAGTATTGAATGAGAATGTGTTATCATTGGAACAAAACAAAACCTATGTATGCTATGTAAGTCAAACCAGTCGGAGAATGGCCATCGAGTATTGAATGAGCATGTGTTATCGTTGGAACAAAACAAAACCTTTGTATACTATGTAAGTCAAACCAGTCGGAGAATGGCCATGGAGTATTGAATGAGAATGTGTTATCATTGGAACAAAACAAAACCTATGTATACTATGTAAGTCAAACCAGTCGGAGAATGGCCATGGAGTATTGAATGAGAATGTGTTATCATTGGAACAAAACAAAACCTATGTATACTATGTAAGTCTAACCAGTCGGAGAATGGCCACCGAGTATTGAATGAGAATGTGTTATCATTGGAACAAAACAAAACCTATGTATACTATGTAAGTCAAACCAGTCGGAGAATGGCCATCGAGTATTGAATGAGAATGTGTTATTGTTTATTTCGTTGTATAGAAAGTTACAAACAACGACAATTTAGTTCCAATGATTAATTGTATCATTTCGAATTTATTGACAATAATATTTTCTAAAATGACGGCCAGAGGACACGTGACGATATTTTTTAACCAAACTTTTAAAAACATAAAGGATAGAGTGATTGAGTGAGTGAGTGAAGATTTAAAGTCACATCGGCAGTATTTCAGCCATATCGTGACTAAAACTTGTTCCAAATTCATAATACATACATATGATATATACAACCCTGTCAACGAAGGACAGTAAAACCACTAGATTATCACAGATTGAGTTAACACTAGCTGGCATATATATTTAAAATTAGAAAATTATTTCTGGACAATACAATGTAAAAATGGGCCATAGATCGCCAACAACTGAAGGTAGATCACCTTACTAGAGACCATGGGGACTTACAGTGCCTTTGCTACCTGCATGGACCCTAATTGGATTTACATAATCCCTTCAGCCGCTGGCGATGGTAGGACAAATTTAGAAATTTAAAGGAACAAATATACTACGTTGAAAAATCGGGTAAGCAAAAAGTTAACTTTGAAAGTATTGGGGCTTACGTACCCTCTCAGGCAGTAATTTTACGATACTTTAACCCCCTTCGAGGATACAACCACTAACAATCGCAGTTGGAAATTTATACTACCATGTTTAAAATACCATTTATCTATTTACAAATCTTTTTAACTAATCTAATTCTTTTAAAGATGCAATAATTAAATGAGAACTGACATTACTAAAAAGATCCTTCATAGTTTGTGATTTGAAATAGATTTCCCTTGTTATGGAATATTCAACACATGCCATAAAAGATAGAAGAATGAAGTAAAATGTATTGAGAATTTCAACAAAATCAACACTTAACATTACAGTCATACAGCAACCGATATTGACATGGATGGTGCCTGAACTGAGGATGGATAGTACATCAAACTTTCAACTGAGTGGACAATGGTTGGATAGTAAATCAAACTTTCAACTGAGTGGACAATGGTAGGGTAGTAAATCAAACTTTCAACTAACAATGGGCACGCGCCTCTAAAATCGCTTGTCCAATGACATGTCATATCGATAGCGTCTATTACAACCGAACTCCAAGACACGAAAAAAATTATCCGGGGCACAGAAAAAATATCATCCGTCTGATGACGTTACTTGGGCTTATTCGCCATTCTCTGTGAAGGCCCCGGATCAGATGTTATAAGTTGGCTGGAGGATGTGGTCGTTGTCGATCATGATAATCCATGACATCGCTGAGCTGTTCTATCGGGGACATATCTGGAAGCGTTGGCTGCATGGACGTTCTGTATAATTCGGATACTATAGGGTCTGACGTTGTATAATATTTATTCCTAGGTAGACTACAGCTTACATACGATATATCTGGGATTACACCTTTTCAGTAAAGTACAGATTCCAGTACTTTTGGGGTTGAGTTCCATCTAGGATTCTAACCCACACACTCAGAGTCAGGCACCTAAGCGCCAGCAAACAAATTCAGCGATCTAACCTACACAGCCACCACCGCTTCCACTGGCTTAGTACAGTGTAATGCCAAACAATACTTACGTTACATATACTACTTTCTAAATGACATTGCTCATTCGTGGACTGTAGCTCTTTGTAAATTAGCTATGAAATGTCACTGCATTACCTGAAGTACAGTCCACTCCCATCCATCCATCAACACATCCACCACCTGGACAGGCTCCATTGACATGGCCACACATGGCAGGTTTTATCTTGCAATGTCTCGAGTTGCAGTACCTGGCACAGCTGGGACCGTACGTTCCACCCGCACACACTGAGTAAGATATGAAATACTGCACTTTTAGTCATTCTTGTTACAATAGAGGCAGTGGCAACCATTAGTTACATAACAAATTTGAGGAAGTTTGAAGGAAAATATCAATAAAAAGTCAAAATTGACCAACAGATTCCTAGGATCGGACCTACTGTATCGGTCTCTCCAGGAAAGATCCAGGCAATCATTGGTCTTGCTTTGTTCTGTTTTTATTTAAAAATATGTTTTCATTAAACACGTCACTTACCATAAATCAGTCTCTTTTTCCTCGCATCTTGCAAGTACATTTATGTTATCCAGGTACTTTTTCATATTTATCATTATGATCGCCAAACAAGCACAATTCCAGTTTGCGTTTCACCAGGTTGTATGTATCCGCTGAGACTAAGATTAACAGCCGTTTTCCTTTAGTTTTCCAGCTGTTTATCAACAATAGGACACAATAAAGTCACATCTGGAAATGATTCCCTTGTAAGACTGAACCCGGCTGTTCAACGTGACGGGGCATTGCAATACATGGCTGTCCATCGACCCAGAACACTACAACATCACTTATGTTTATTTCTAGGTCGACTGTATCTGCTGGTATAGATAGACTTCGTTAACATTTTGACATTGCGTCAATCCAAGTCGACTATCCATTGACTACTGAACGATGCACCGTGAAATGACACTTTATTACCTGTGGAGCAGTCCGCCCCCATCCATCCGTCCTGACATCCACCAGCCGGACAGGTTCCAGTAATACGATCACACATGGAAGAGAATACCATGCATTGTCTGGAGCTGCAGTCTCTGGCACAACTTTGGCCGTACTTTCCCTCCACACAGACTGAGTAAGATGTAGAATAACAATACGACAGTAATAAGTGTCAAAGGAGATACCCCATATGAATTAAGGTCGAGGCAATGTATAATATACATGCAATATAATATACAGTATTTGGCGAAGTGGTAAAACATGCTAAATATTATACCATAGGTTAAAGTAATGAATACATACCACTCTCGCATTACAACTTTTAATAGTTCATTGTGAAAATGTTTTAATAAGCCATGTTTGTTATGCAAGTTTCGCTTATTCAAATTCAGTACTGGGACACAATATCTTGATTTCTAAGAAAAATGTGTGAAGACAACATATGAATATTTAAACAATCCTCCACGTTGTACCCTTCAATACAATTTACTAGTTACAAAACATATTAGGATACTAGATAAATATATTCAAGTTCCGAAGTATGTAACGCTTGATTGCTGTAAATCTCTGATCACAGGTGAACTACATTTTAAGTTTATGGCATTGTGATAACTTCATCGGAAGACGATTTTCCACATCAGGTGTATCACGTCAGATTATAACGGAGTGTTTGATGTCTACGTTGAATCATCCATGGTATGACCTTTATCTGAAAGTGGGAAGCAATTTGACGGATACTTCGTCAAGAACAGCTTTCCACAGCCTCAAAGTGTTGCTTTATAGGAGTTTAGTGATTTTGCCCTATCCTGGCAGTGCCCTTCTTTCTGACCCTTATTTACTTCTATCCGTTGTTTCGTCCCCTCTATGAGGATTTATATAACAAGAAATCTGCTCCTGCTCCGCCTCTTGGTTTCAGAATTAAACCATTCCTTCCTGCTGCCGGTATTGAGCTGGAAAATATATCTCCTTCGCGTCTTCTTTCTCATCCTCCTTGGCAATTGGTTAGAACACAAGTCGACCTTACATTTACCGCATATCTAAAAAAATCAGAAACAAATGACTGACAATATAAACAAGATTTTACACTATGGCCGATTTTACTGCCAAGGCAGCACTCAACAAATGACGAGGAATAGACTTTTCAATGTCAAAACAGTGAAGGATATTTTTAACGTCAATTAACATTTAATAATTAACACGTCACAATTTAATTCTGGACTCACAAAAGTCCAGAAACTCTCCGCACTTTCGGCACTATCAAACAAGGGATTTGACCAAATTAAACATGCAGTTGTTATGAATATATGCCAAGAATGCAAAAATGGAAAACATAATTTTCGAAAACTTTAAATTTAAACTCGCTCGCCCATGGGCGAACAGTGGCCCATGGGCGAGAATGTATAATTTCGATCAGAATTCATGTTTTGGAGGTTGTATATGAGTGAGTGTATGTTTATAAGCATCATGAAACAAATTTCAACTCATTTGGACTTAATTCGACTAATTTAGAACGATATTAAAACATCTCGCCCATGGGCGAAAAATATGTTGGCCCATTGGCGAGAATGTTTAATTTCGCTCAGAATTCATGTTTTGGAGGTTATAAATGAATGAGTGTATGTTTATAAGCATCATGTCACAAATTTCAACTCATTTTGACTTAATTCGACTAACTAAGAGCGATATTTAAAATCTTGCCCATGGGCGAAAAACATTTTGGCCCATGGGCGAGAATATTTACTTTTACTCAAAATACATGTTTTTTCCATGTTTTGGAGGTTGCCTTGCCCCTTCAATGTTCCCATACCACCACCCCCACCCCAGTTTAACCCCTTTATCTTTCTTTACCCATTATTTAATTATAAACACCTGTTTCCAAAACAACAAGCTCCCCCTATGCTATACAATTCACACACACCCACCCTAACAAGCCCTACTTTATATCTATCAGTTTAGTTCTATTTCTCATCTCTTCTCATCTAATTACATCAAACTAAATTATTTTTTCTTTTCCCTTCCTAATCACGGCTTTTAATTTATTATCATGTTTGTAGCCGTTTCCATTCAAAATTCACTTAGGTTAACACCCCATCATTTACATTTTTGGGGGTATGGTGGTTTATCCCTTATTATAAACATATTAATTATTACTTTAGCTCCCACCTACCCTGTCGGCGTTATTGGCTACAGCCAGAAGCCGACGTTAAACTCATAATCAGCATCATATGTAGTCACTAGGCACTTAAAACATTAGAAGTAATGCCATGGAACAAGTTATCTAACTACAGTATGACGTGATATTGTATCGTAGATGATTTGAGAATGCAGAAGCACTGAAAAAGCATCGTTTTTTACCACCAAGGGCATTACACTGGTGACCCAGTTAAGGATCGAGTGATGACTGAAAATGTCAAAAATGCCGCTTCGCGACAATCTGCGAATGATCCAGCGTTCTATAATTTTTATGTGATATGGCTTCACAGAACAACACAAAGGTACTACCTTGTGTTGGAAACTGTATCTGACATACTGCTTCAATGATACATTGATTCATGAAACAGAACAGAAATCACAGCAAGATAAGCCCCAGTACAGTAGCTTATTTATTAATTTAGTAACGTACAACATGCGAAATAACTCAATGCAATTGGAAATGTGGCTAGTCAATGGTATGCGTGTACGAACCGATACTATCAAAACATACACGTCCGGACAGTCAAAATTAAGAAATTGTTGAATATGAAATATTACTTTTAATTTGTATATTCTTGTAACACAAACAGTATTGTGAGAGCTTTAACTGTATTGAAATATGTCTTGTCAATCCTATTGACATTTGCCAATAACCACTTCCAAATAAAATAAATAGTCTATGCTGCTTCAGAACAAATAAAGGTTAATTAGCGAGCCCCAACTGGGTAATTAAGGAAAGAAGTCAATACACTGTCACTTCCTGCCCAGGACGTCACACGTCACCACTCAGGAGCTAATGGCCTTGTCAAACCTTCTCACAAAGGGAAAAAAGCATCAAAACTGTGTTTTTATTCTACGTAACACTCGGTATGTCGCCATAGTATTCATTGTTGAATAAATTCTATCGTTGGCAACCCCACACTTGCGAGGTGTACCTACCCAGGTGTGCACGTTTCGTTTTAATATTTTGCGATCAATTATTTTGTAATTCCCGTCTGCCCGTCACGGCTATTCTTCGCCTGAGGTTTTAGGGAGTACAAAACCCACCACCACCACCCCACCACACCCCTATTTAAATAGAAACATGAAGCAATTCCATATAAATAAACATGCAAAGCACACACAATATGGCAATGCTAACACTTAGACCATTCTGATTTATTGAGCAGAGTAAGATTGGCACTATTTTGGCGGTTCTGCCACTTTTGCACTCTACCTTTTTACCTGAGGCGTGCAGATTCTTGGTGCTTTTTAGTATTTCATTTATTTGTTTAGATTGGTTATTTTGGTGTTTTAACGGCTGGGGCCGGCTGAATGAGTCTATTAAAATAATTGTATTTTTATTGTGTTGTTTAACGAGCTGGACATGGAGTGCTGTTATCATGTATGTTATCATATATTAGTGGGATGTATTGATAGTAATGAAAACTTATAAGAAGATATTGTACCTCAACATACAAACCTATCCCGATAGCTCTCATCGTCACTCTCATGTCAATCCATTGTGACTGTTGCAGTCCTCCTGTACATCCAGTATATATAAGCAAGTTGGGTTTTTCTATTTAGGATTTATTATTGCTAAACACACATTTAACCGAGATGAAGAAGGGGGTCTCCAATTCCATGCATGCTTTTGCTCTCATAAGTTAGACATCCCATTTGTCAGACACGCCAATTATCAGACAACTTTGGATCAATCAGGCGTGACTGATTACAAACCTAGTTTTACCCACTGACGTAATAGACCTATCCCATAGACAATCGAGATGTTTTCATATTAGTGGTTAGTGGTATATTTTAACACTAATTCTTAGTTTGTTACTTTTTGTGCAGAAATACTAATGTCTATTGACTTCGGCTTCTCACAGTTTGTGTTCATAATGTTCACTTTGATCAAAACAGGATTATAGATTTCCCATGTAACTAAATGAGTTACTCCCAGAGGTACAGAGGTGGATACGACGGGCTGTTGGGCTTCCTCTGCTCCCCCTATGAATAACTGACAAGAAACTTGAAACCAAGATCGAGTAAACAGTTAAAACATAAACTCAATGAAGCTGCAAGTTTGTACCTAAACAATTGAAAAAATCGAAACAACACAAATATTTAATAAGAATAAATAACCATCACTAAACTATCGATAGTCCCACATACTATCGATGCATCGATAGTTTTTCAGTTCTACCATCGATTAATTGCTTTCGGAATAATTTCAATTCATCGATAGTCTGATGCATCATTACAGCCCCATTAATTATATCGCTTAATTTATTCTTATGCACATAACTTTGGATCAATCCATTGCCCAATAATGGTATCATGCATTGTCATACGAATTCATGAGAGATTTTCAAGTTATTGTGTTGTCATCCACATTTTGATTTAGCTGGTTTCTTCCTCATTTCCAATTTCATCATTCTGAGTTTCACCTCAGTTCAGTATTTCAGTGTAGCTCGCAAAGACGAGGTCACGGAGCGGAACGATGACCTTCAGCGTATCTCCGCATTCAGTTACGTAATTTCCGCAAAGCGCCTGCGACAATTTGCCCCGAAAAAGTTTTTGTGTCCCATCCGTTGGTCTTGTGTATTGGAGTAAAACAGCCACGACTTTCAAGTGTATTTTGCTTTCCATATATACAATCCATTGATCACCCTGGGCTAGGTGTGAGATGTACAGGTGCTCGTGAGGGTGTTTTTTTTAAAAAGACTATATATCGTACATTCTAAGGAAATCTCGAATTGATTGTATTATAAGGTGTCGAAATGGTGTTAAATTCTCTTTTGTGCATTAACTTATTTGTCATGCAAAATTGGTGTGTATATATGTGTGATTGAACAACCCTGTTTACTGAGATAGGAATAGGAACTTTGACCTTTCTCAAGACGTGCTCATTTATGCGTATATGCTCTTGAAAACCTTGTTTGACAAGATGTGCCTTT